GATAAATCAAACACTAACTATTAAATAACTTGTATTATATTAAACTGAACTTCCAATTTTCACCACTGTTCGGCGCCAAGTAACCTTTACTTTGATCACAGCTTGCTTTGTCTCGCAATGAATCCTGGGATATCCAAGAATACCGAGGATACATCAGACCCGTCCTTCAAATCGGGCAAAAAGACGGACGCATTTTTAGGCCGCATAACGAGGACTCTTGGAATCCGACCAGACCTCGGAGCCGCGCTATGACGTAATCGGCCTTCGAATCCGGTCTTCCAAGGATGCGTCCTAGGTTTTCGAACAGAGCCATAAATGGGATGTTGAGAGAAATTCAAGCTCCTTCTGAATTATGCAAATCAGTAAGGATACTTAAGCTAAAGTGTAAGTATTTCAATTGCCGTCATGATAAGTACTGTCCAAATAATGCTGGCAGTAAGGAATTCTCTAGGAAGAGGAGAGTAGTGTGCTACTATATAAGGCTTCAAACTCAACGTTAATTCTGACATTTTGAATTGAAAACGCTTTTTTTCACTTTTTTGGTAGGAAGAGGAAGCAGGATGCTTTTTATCGATAGTTCATTTAGCACAGGGACCACCCAACATTTCTGTGGCACTTAGGAGCTATAAGGTTTCCCATAATCCTTTGGGTGACAGAACATGTACGCACAGCCCACCTTACAGAGTTCTTACAAGTTGTTTTAATGGTTATAGAGTCAGATATGTGGCGGTAGTGTTTGATTTATCTAGTTTAGTGAGTTAGGAGTTTAATTTTTTTATTGTTGTTTTGCACAATATGCTTAACTAAGTATTTTTTGTTGTTGAATATTAGAGATTTTGCAGATACATTTTGTAGATACATTGTTTAGATTTACTTATATATTTTTAACCCTTTTATAGAATAGAATAGAAAATCCCTTTATTGTCCCACAATGGGCAAATTTACAGCAGCAGAAAGATTATTGAAAATGGTCACACAAATGAGGACCTTAGAAAAATGTATAAGAATAACATAATAGGGAAGAGTTAAAATATAAACAATAAAATTCTGTAAAGTGTTTTAACAATATAAAACTGGAGAATTAATAACCAATATGCATCTATGGACATTTTTACAGTGATGGATATTTGAAAATAGCAGCAACATCAGAGATGTGCAGAATGACAGCAGCAGGTTATTTAACTGACTAAGGTTTCTATCATTGCATTTGATTTTATTTGTTCCTGCTCCCGGTGGTTGAAACATTTATTCCACTCTGGATTCTTGTGAGTATAGTCCTTGTTCACTTTAACTTTAAAAAAAATAAATAAACAGTTTTGAAAACCTCGGTATTCATTCTTTTCCTGCTTTGTGTGTCAACTTTCACGGTTGCTAAGCAACAGAGCATACAGCGGTAAAACCTGCTGAAGGGTAGAGACCTGTTCGAATTTACAGCCAAAACTCTTCCAGCCTCCTTATTTTCAAGGACTTCGAAGGATCCAGTCTAGGTAGACCGCGTCCTTGGAGGATACGTCCTAGGTTTTCGAACAGAGCCTCTGATTAAGAACAGGGCTGCCCGCACTGACGCGGCTCAGGGATTACGTTACACGGAGCGTTGTCCGCAGTGAAATCAGGACATTTCCTCACTTTCTAAAAAAAACCCGGTACGCCCGGGACAGGACGTGAAATACGGATATGTCCCGGGAAATACGGACGTTTGGTCACCCTATACAATTTATTGTATTTGGAATCAGCCTCGGACTTTAAAAAAATACTAAAAGGTAAAAGTATTTCTGTTTCTTCCCTTTAAATCTCTTTTTGGCAAATTGGAGGGTCTGACCCTTCAGGGTCTGTCTGGACCAACATGAGTTAATAGCAGACTTCACTTAGGGTCTATTATGCAGAACTAGTGTTTAGATTTGCTTGACTTAGAGTTTTTTTTTTTTTTGCTACTTGCAGCATTTTTTGTATTTAGTGTGTAAGAATACAGTGTTTCTTTGCTGTGCTTCCATGTATTTGCAGCAGGTTTGCACTTTGCTTCCATTTTCTGTGTTTGGATTATTATGTATATTTGCAACTCACAACATGTGTGATAAACTAATTATTGTAAAAAATTGAATATTTAAAGCAAAATTAGTGGAATGTGATGAACCGCAACTGTTTTCAAAGGTTTCTTTTAAAATCAAGAATAATTTTTTTATTGTTTTTTCTGATATCTTCAGCTATCTAAGTAACTCAAAGATATGTGTATTTAAAGCAATGGAGGGCTATATACATACATATGTATAAAGATACACCGATCAGAGATTTTATGGCCATTTTCTTTTCATACATTTTCTAAAAATAAGCCATACTTATAAAAAAGAATACTTCTACAGTTTCAGGTATGAGACCCTTATTTTAATGGGGATATTTCCAAACTGTCTACATACCTAATCCAGAGAGATTCATTACAGGCCTCAGAGTTGGGGGAATAGGTTTAGCAACCTGTTATTTTCTGAAGGTTCCTGTTTAGATGTGCGAAAGAAAAAAGAAGGGATAGCCCTGATGCCTCCATAAAAAAAGTTCAGATTGTTTTCTGCATCGCTGCCCCTGGTTTTGTTCACTGTGACCCTGAAAATAGCTTTTATACTCAGCAACAAATTACATACTCAAAATATTATAGAAAGACCCATTAGCTCTTTGTTATGGTTCATTACTGATAAGAAAGCTGATTGAATTTTTTGCTTTAAATCACAGATCAGGGAAAGACGGCAGTGACAACATCCAATACAGTAGGCCACAACAGCCAATTTCCCATTGCATCAGAAGACATCTTTGATTATTTATGCTTATGACTGACCCTGCAGCAGCACGGATCGGGGTCCACTGCAAAATATATAATGAAGGCAGCAGTCGGTAGCACTGGTTCAATACCCGGCCCGGGTCTTTCTACATGGAGTTTGCATGTTCTCCCTGATGATGTGTGGGTTCTCTCCAGGTACTCCAGCTTTCTCCCACAGTCTAAAAAAATTACTGTTAGGTTAGTTGGCTTCCCTAAAATTGTCTTTAGGTGTATGTGTGCATTGTTGTTTCTCTCTGTGTTGCTCTGTGATAGCCTGGCGACCTTTCCACGACCTTTCTCGTCCCTAGACAGCTGGAGATATGCACCAGCACCCCTTTATGACCCCGCTTGAGATAAGTGTAACAGAAAATGGGATGGATGGATGCTGCTTTATGTAACTATTAAGCAAATATGCATTTCTTTTGTACGATTTGCCTAATAATGGTGCTTTTACACTTCAAATGAATTACTCTCAGTCACATAGACGTGAAATGTGTCACTTTTATTAAGAGAAGGAACATGTTGACTACATAAGGGGTTGTGTCCTGGCTGGAGGTGCCGTGTGTATCTGTGTCATCAATGTTTGGTGTGCTTTATCCCAAGGTTACCTTATGTAGCTGTTGCCAGTCTGGCTGTAAGCTGTGGGCTACAGGCAGGCGGTGAAGTCTTTCTATGCTCTGCTTCAGAGCAGGTGTGAGGAGGTCTAAAGCCAGAGTCAAGGTTAGCACACAAAGGAAGGACTGTGGAGAGATGGGCTTCAGTCACAAAATGCTGCAGTGCTTGTAATACATTAAATCCAGTAGACATGTGAATAACTGTTCCTTCTAAAATGCTAAAAACATTACAGGAATTGATTTCACTTATTTATTACAAAGAGACTGATGGGATCTAAAGCCAGCTCCTACTTTTTAGCTGTATAATCAGCTCATTTTGTCTTTGTTTCTCTTTCACCTTCCTGGTTTGTTAAAATCTGACGTCATGCACTGTTGGGGGTGCAAAGCCTCAATGAAGAGGAAACTCTCAGAGAATGCTGACCCGTCCACATAGACTGAGTGAGAGACTTTGTGTGTTTGTGCTCCCTCGTGTGCCATTCTTGAAAAGCACCACTGACAAGTTTCCCTGTTGCTAACGACTTACTTGTTTCTGGAGGAAAGCAGACAGGGGATTTATTTTATTCTTCAAGTTATTATATCTAAGGAAGGATAAAGCTCAAATAGCTCCCACCTTTGTAGATTAACAACAAACAGGAAAAAGTAGTAATTGCAGCTGAAATGAGAGAGAAACTTGATCTGTAAGGGAACAAGGGTGCCTTTCATTGCTCTTTATCATACTGGGAGAACTCTGTAAACTATCCCTAGAAGCAAATATCATGTGTTTTTGGCCTCACATGCACACTCAATGTATTATAAACCAACAATTTGCTTAAGGGATGGAACATAAGCCAAATGTGCAAACAGGCTGGTTTTGGTGTAAACAGGTATTGCCGTGTTCGCTATGATGAAAACCTTTATTTATACAAACTTCGTCTTTGCAGTCTTCAGGTTAAGAAGTCTGTACGCAGCAGAAAAAATACAACCAGTTTAAGGCGCCTGTTGAGCCGTCTGTCCTGGAGAAGAACACAGAAAGACAGGCTACTCTGAGTCTTTGTTGCTGGGTGTTTCACACCAAAATAAAATACAGAAAAATCCTGAAGGAAGATAAAAGCAGCATATGGTTTCTACGGCTGCATTGAGAAGGAAACAGTGCTTACTATTTTCAGACAAGCTGTGTAGGCTGAAACACGCTGTTTTGCTCCAAAGGTGTGATATTTTCGAAGCATAGTGAGATCGGCGCCTTATTGTCTCACTGTAAGTTTCCTATTTTTTCCCACATTTCCACCTTAAGACCAGCACCTGTGAAAGATTCCTCTGTGTTCTGTGAATGACTTCAAGGCAAGCTGAATAATCAAAAGGGGTCCATTTTGTTCCTCTTCCTTTAGGGTTATTATAATTTTCTCTTTAATGAAAACGTCCTCCCTCCCCTTCTTCCTTTGTTCCATTAGAGAACTTTGCTTTCTTTAAACTCCTGTAACATCCAGTGCACTCACAGGTCGTCGCTGTATTTACAGAGATTGTTGCACCCACTTACATTAGCCATGACTCTTCGCTCTCATCTCATGGGTGGTTTACTGTATTGATGAATTTTTTTTCTCTCACAGGTTGTGACCCTGGGGAAGAACAGCCGTGGTTACCACTACATTCTGGCCAATCTTGTGAGTAATAACCGTGCTGTTCCCCTGGGAAGGGGGAAATCGGCTTTTTGCTACATGTAATAGAAAAAAATGTGTACGTTCATAGGTGGGCTGTGGTAGGAAAAAAAAAAAGGCTCTTTGTTTTGGTATTTCTATTTTCATGCAAAAGTCTTTTGCGTTGTTGTAGTCTCTGGTAATCAGTTAAGTCCACAAATTTTCAATAGGATTGCATATGTCTGCCGTCTACATTCCAAAAAGGGTTTTATATGAATTTACCTCTATATTCATATTGGAAAATCTAACTGTCTACCCATCTGACCCAAACTGCCCTCCTCACATTAAATGATATTACTTTGGTTTTAAATCAATACAGGAACCACCCAGCAGCCGTTTTTCATAAACTGGAAACTGCTTACACGCCATTGTCCTTGTCAAGTGAAACAAGATTTAGAGCAGGGGTCTCAAATTCAATATTCAAGGAAGCTTTTGACAAGTCTGAAACCACAATCTAAAACCAAAACCTTTTGCTCAACTGCAGTTTTAAATACCATCTGGGAAATGCTTCATAATCTGACTTAAAAGACAGTAAATATGTTTCAGTAGTCAGTGTGTTTAGAGATACCATCCACCAGAAATTGTGATATTTGGTGCTGTTAGTACAAATTCACTCTAAAAATTATTGAATTCCAATTTCAAAAGACACCAAGTTAGGGGAAATTTGGATGTCCTGACTGCAGGAAATTGTCAAAACCGTACAGATTTGTTATGAGGTACTGATTCCCATTTTGGTGACAGCATATGTTTATATCCTTTGTTTGTAAAAATCTGATCATGTGTAAATGAATAGAAATCTCCAATAGATTCGGAAGTTTGTAGCTAAAACTTCTGATTACCGTTGAGGTCACTTGTGTATTAACTTCACCCTAAAAGAAAGACTGATCCACATTGATCAATCATTAAATATCCCACTGCTGCTGTCCTTTTTCATTGCACATTCAATAAGCATACCAAACATTTATTAACTAAAGGTAATTTAACCTTTCCCAGACTCTGAGGAAAGAAATGTTTATTTCAGCTTGAAGATGTGATTCTGCAGCAAACAGACATGTTTTTACCCAACATGTTATTTAAGGTGTTTAAACACCAGTGTTTAAGAAAGGCAAGGCAAATTATTTGAGTTACACAATTCATTACATGGATAATTCAAAGTCCTTTATATTATTAACACGATAAAATATAAGAAAAATAAAAGCAGAATAAAAGGAAATGAAGATAAAAAAAAACATGTGTAAAACAAATAAAACAATTGGGCAACAAACATAAACTAATTATACCTCAGTTTACAGTTTAACTTTCAAGTCTAAGCAAATGGGTTTTTAACTTTGACTTTAAAGCTTTCAGCTCTTTTCCAGTCTTCTATGATTTTTTTTTTTTTTCTAGATCAGTGAGGCATAGGAACTAAATGCTGCTTCTCCATGTTTGTGTCTAGTCCTGGGTGGACAGAGTAGGCTGGAACTAGAAGACCTGAGTGGTCTGGGAGGTTGATAGACTGACAACAAATCTGTTATGTCTTGAGGTGCTGATCCATTCAGTGAGCTATGGACTGAGAGAAGGATTTTAAAGTCTATTCTCTAAACTACAGGTTACTGGAAGGACTTCAGAACCATGCTGATGTGCTGTACTTTATTAGTTCTCTCGATGAACACTGGCAGCAGCGTTTTGGATCAGTTGCAGCCATCTGATGCACTTTTTAGGCAAACTATAAAGACAATGTTACAGTAATCAATTCTACTAAAGATAAATGCATTTCAAACAAGCTCTATTTTGTCAACACAACAATGATAATAGGGTTTCAGACAACTCTGTCTCAAACAACTCTGGTGCAATTCCTTTATGACCGAATTAAATCCTGGAGGGCCGATGTGCACCTTTTAGCGGTCCATTTCCCTACACACCTGAATTAAATAGCTAAAGCAGTCAAGCTTTGCCGAGCTGTGCTAATGAGCTCAGTAATCAGGTGTGTTGACGAAGAGTTGAATCTAAGAAAATGAGGTCTGGAGTTTGAAACCACTGCTTTATGGTGTGAACGTGATCTACCCTCTGCATGACACAGCTACCATACTTGTGCCAAATGTTTCTTTTTGCCAGGTATAAATTGTTGGATAGTGTGGAATTAACAATGAAATAGACAATAACCGTGCGTCTTTTGCATAGAGCACAAAGCCATGTATCAACTTTAAGGTGTTTTATTAATATGAATTTGATAAACACTAGTAATGTAAAAATAAAATAGCCTAAAGCAGAACACAGACAGATACTACGTACAGAGGATTGCATGCTTTGCACCTTCTTCCTGTGCAGAGATTTATTACTTATGCCCTGCACACTTCTGACCAGTGACCAGACTTACTGTACTATGTGATTTGTAGTGACCGGTTGGGATTTATCTGAAGTCATCTACCTGAAAAGAAACGCAATCAGAGATAGATTACAAGTTAAAAATCTCTTTAACTGATTTAGCCAAAAGTTAACCAATAATTATTGTAAAAGCAAACTTAATAGAATATAGGTTTCTCCAAAAAAAATGTTAATACTAATGAAATTTTAATTATTCAGTTTGACAGGTGAAACCTCACATTTACATAGATTAATTTAAACCATAGAATGATCTATTAAAACTATGTACTGTATTTCTGTTCATGTTAATGATACTTTCCAGATAATAACAAAACCTGAATTATTTTTTTCTGAAAATTACTTTTGTATACAATAGATATACTGCCGACTTGCAGCAAGAAGATCCGGGTCCAATTTCCGGCCCAGGTCTTACTGTATGGATTTTGCATGTTCTCCCTGACCTTGTGTGGGTTCTCTCCGGGTAATCCTGCTTCCTCCCACAGTCCAAAAACATGGCCATTAGATTAATTGGTTTCTCAAAAATTCTCCTTAGGTGTGAGTGTCTGCATGAATTTTTGTTTGTCCTGTTTGTCTCTGTGTTGCCCTGCGATGGACTGGCGACCTGTCCAGGGTGGAACCCGCCTCTCGCACGTAGACGGCTGGAGATAGGCACCAGCACCCCTTGCGACCCCGCTTGGGATAAGCGTGTCAGAAAATGGATGGATGGATATTAAAATGTTATGCACTGTTGCCTATGCAATTATAGAGAAGGGTTGACATTGAATGATTCAGATCTGTGTGGAGAATAAGCTATAAGAGGTCATTGCTAAGTAAGGCTGATGTTCACAGAGCTCTATATCCATAGAGCTTATTCACAAGACATTGGATGCAGCCAGAGGCAGTATTTTTAAAAGTCAATAGATAAAGTGACAACAACAAAAGTGTCTTTCTTGACTGTGAAGATAAATAAAACTCAATTGTTTTTTTAGTTAAGTTTTTTTTTGTTATCCATCTTTTGTTTATACCTGCTGATACCTTCTCGGCTTGTTGGTTAAGGTTGGTTGGTATATCAAGTGTTTAAGTGGAACTTAACTTCGCTTTTTTTTTTTGTCCACGGGAGGCAGTGGTAGTAGTACCCGGAGAGAACCCACACAGGCACTCAGAGAACATAGAAACTCCAGACAGACACACAAACCTCCTTTCTACAAGAACTGCATCATATTAATTAACCAAATCTTTTTTTTTCCCTTTTTTTTTTTTTATTATTACTCTAAAGCAGGGATCTGCAACCCTTTATATGCAAAGAGTGAATTGCCCTACTGTACGTCTGGCTAAGTAAAAGTCATTTAGAGCCGCAAAATATTACATCATATTTTAATATAAAACAACTTTTTTACTTTTATATCTGCCATAGGAAATCTATTTCCAACTTAAACAGCGAACATTTGATTTGCTTCTTTAAATTAAGACAATGCAAAATAAATTATTCATAAAGATGAAGCATGGCTTTTCTTCTATAGGGTAAAATACGGTAATAATAATAAAACACATAATTTCCAAGCTAACTAAAAGAAAAATGGCTCTACAAAACATATTTCTGATGCTTTTAATGTCATTCAGTTGTGAAAATTCAATTTAAATATTCTTTATAAAAACCAATAAAGGTTCTAATACTTGTATTTATTAATATAGTATATTATTTAGTTCTTTATATCTTGGCCACTATTAAGAGCCATTGTACAGCGTCTAAAGAGCCGCATGTGGCCCTGGAGCCACAGGTTGCAGACCCCTGCTCTTAAGCATAGAAATGAATCCAAATAAAGACCAACTATATGAGTCTGTGAAGCATAATTTCATATAATACATAAGAAGCCCTTATGTATATAAAAACAAATATATCTCAAAAGGCAGTAAGTCACAATAATGATACCCCTGTCCCATTTGTGTTTTGACTCATTGTAGGGATTTTCAAATGTGAGTCTGGACAAAGTCTTCGCCGGAGGAGCCAACATTTCAGGGTTTCAGATCGTCAACCCTGAGAATCCAATTGTGCAGCAGTTCATACAGCGATGGGAGCGGTTGGATGAAAGAGAATTCCCAGAAGCACGAAACGCTCCTCTGAAGGTACTCAGGCTTTTGCAGGGCTTTATTACATTGTGCATGCAGGACACGGCAATCGTTCCTTCAGAAGTGATCTCCATCAGCTGTTCCTATCTCATCCTGTTTACGTTCATAATTCTTTCACCCTCCCCTCTCCCATTCTTCGCTCTCTGCACCGTCTTTGCTTCGCATTTCTCAGAGCAATCAATATATTGATAGGCCATGCAAGGCAAGGTTATATTGCAGCTTCAATTTACATCTAATTAAACAATGATCAAGGAAGAAATGGATTTAGAATGCCATTTAATTAGATTTCGCCATGGTGTGGTGGTCAACAAACAAGTGGCTCAACCCCTCAGTGGTGAAAAGGTCAAGAGAAGTTTCAGGGTAAGTACGTGGGAGATAAAAATCAAACTTTATCCTATATAACTACCTAACTCTACAGCAAAGTTATGAATGAGGTCCTAAACCACAGATATGTCCTTAACAGCCTAAGTTGCTTCATAAGCAAGGTGTCAAAGTTTACATCCACCCTAACCAAACCAGTCTGAAAGTTGTTTTTTTTTCTCCTTCATTCTCTCAATATAGCAGCTTTCCAAAGACAACCAGTTTATATTTTCTTTACATTTCTCCCAATGTTTTCTTCACCATCAAATGTTCTCTTGCTTTTGTTTACCCTTCTCATTTTGGACAGTACACCTCCGCCCTGACCCATGATGCCATTCTAGTGATTGCCGAGGCATTCAGGTACCTAAGACGTCAACGCGTAGATGTCTCACGTAGAGGCAGTGCAGGAGACTGTCTGGCGAATCCCGCTGTTCCCTGGAGCCAGGGCATAGACATCGAAAGAGCTCTGAAAACGGTAAGGAAGGAAAATGGGAGGGAGTGGTAGGCTGAGACCAAACAGAAAAAGAAGGGACGGGGAGATGTGGCGGAGCGGGGTTCGCATGATAAAGATGGAAAGTGACAGAGAGAAGGGGAGAGAGTGCACAGCTATTCTCCGCTCTCTGCCTCCAGACATCTCTGCGCAGAGCTTGCTCAAATCCAAGCCCTCATTACCATAAAACTACATCTTTTATTAAAGCGTATCCAGTTCATCATTCGATTAACGGACTGAGTGCGCTCCAGTTGCAAAACTGACACAGGCACCTTAATGCCTGCAAAATTTGCAGAGTGATGCAAGTCTTCCTCATTTTCTCAGATCTAATTGTTTGTTTTTCTTTAAGGTCCAAGTTCAGGGGATGACCGGTAACATCCAGTTTGACAACTATGGCCGCAGGACCAATTACACCATAGACATATATGAAATGAAGACAGGTGGGCCGAGGAAGGTAAGGCCCTTTTGAGCTTCCACAACTAATCAGAATAATTCCCTTTAGCCAACTTGGGAGTTTGAAAGTTGTATGGGGTTGTAATTGAACAACAAACATTTTATTAAACAAAAGCGCAATATTAACACATGTATTTTACATATCAAAATGTGAATATACAAAAAAAAGACTTGGCTTAGATCATTAGCTTCTACCATTTGCAAAAGGATGTAGCTATAGTTGCATTCAAACCTATAGGCACCCCTGGTAAAACAAAAATGAAACTAGCCTTAAAAGAATATTGATCTATTGATTTTGTGATTTTGTTTGTAAACATTAATCCGAAAACATCTTTAAGGTGAAATTTTAACATTAAATTGGGTTTTTTACAATTTGCAACGACCAATTATCCAAATGATTTTGTGATGGTTTGGATTTCTTATTGTTCCTTTTTGTAAAATCTGTTGTTTATTCAGAAAGAATTCACCACAGTGGTGAATTGATTATTAAAAATTGCCTGGTGTTTTAGAGTCCTGATGCCAATAATTATGACATGATTCTATGGGCCACTGGAAAAAAGCAAACGCATAGCCTCACAGGTTCTTCATTATATTTAATATGAAATAAACATTTCATATATATTCACCTATATGTAGACATTACTACATTGCAGTAAAGGTCAATCTTAGTCTCATCTAACCAAGGTTTCCCTAATTCTGGTTCTCGAGTTCCGTTGTCCTGCACCTTTTGTGTCTCTGCTTCAACACACCTGAGTCAAATAATCAGTTCTTTATTTCTGGGCTCAATCTGAATACCTCAAATTGGTAGTGATAATTCATGGCAGAAATGACTTAGTGCCATAATCAGTATTATCTAAATACAATTGGCGGTAAAGAAGGAGATGCCTTCTAGCACCAATTTAGTCAAGGGTCTTCCTAATTTTCTATCCAAAAAGTTTGACAAAAAGAATATTTCTTACATGTACTCTGTGTAGCACATTCAAATGTACACATCTTTCTAATGTTTATTTGTTTTTTGTAGTTTTGTAGTCTCCACTTTTCATTTGTTTTTAATTAGTCTAATAGCTTTGTTAATTGTGCTTCCATTTATATAAAATAAAAATAAAAGAAAATAAAGCAGAATCTTATTGTTCAATTTCTCCCCTTTCTGAACAAGTATTGGATGAACTCATCACAAACTGACTTCTCTAAAACAAATGCATCAAAGCATGATAACTGATCAGCAGAACCAGTCATGCTTTAGTCACACGTAAAACTGTTGACAGCTGACAACCTTGAGCTCTGTTGTTCTTAAGCATAGCCTAAAGCTCAGATTCATGTCTTGCAAAGTTCCTATAAATCTAGGCGCTTCAAAGGTATATTCCTCTTCATTATTAAATGTTGGTCTAAGGGGTAGAGTGGACAGCAAAGAGTAATGCTTATTGCTTTCTGTACCTCTGTTGGGTAGCAGCACTGATGAGGTAAAAGCAAGCATTAAAAGGCCCACAAATCACTTCGAGCTTGCAATCTGACAGCTAAAACAGTGCTGTAAAAAAATGACATGGCGCTTGCGTTACTATGGGATAGCTTGGATATGATTTTTGTTCTCTCCTGACAGTAATTACCATTCCAATAACCAATTACAGTAAAGGGTATCCAAGAATTCCTCTGGCTCCTCTTCAAATGGTAATTGCCAGTGGAACGTTCACATTATAAAACAGAACCATATGATGACCTCTGGTTTTATTTCATAACCCTACAAAGATCCAAGAGGCAGCTGTGAATTTCTCCTTTCCTGGATAAGTATAGGCTCAGTCTGATATGATGTGTGATTATGCTGCCTGCCTTGCAGGCGTCCAAAGCCCACACTTCAATTAGCTTTGCATAGCCCTCACCGACATTCCCGTACAGTTGAACAGAGGCGGAAAGAGCAGGGAGATGGATAGCGAGAATAGGAGAAAGGAGGTCAGTGGGAGAACACAAGGGAGGGGAGATCAGACAAGGAGGGCAGCACTTTGTCAGGACCTGCAGCCTCAGCCACCCTGGTGACAGTTAGAGGATGAAGGTTCCTAGCTGTGACTGCCACGATGATGTATTAGCTGATATGTGTCACACTTGTATGGAGTGAGATCAAGACATACCTTCTGGAGCTCCTCAGGCTCCAGCAGCTCTGTCCCACAAGCAACACCCTTCAAATATAACTATGAGACAAGTGTAGGGAATAAAAACAAAAAAAATCCACAACCTTTTTTTTTACTCTGACAAATGGATTAAATAGATCGCCAGATGTGAGCTCAGTTTAGAGTTGAAATGTTAGATATTTCCTGTTTTTTAGCACCTCCTTTTGGAGCGTAAAATAAATGCACTGCTGTACACCTGTTTGTTGAAATCAGTGAAAGATCTGAGAAAAAGAAAAATGCTCACCAGATGTGAAGGGGAAACTCCCAGCCAGTAACACTGCTGATAACTACATATGCAACATGTTTCATCATAAGCCAAAGCAGCCATTATTTCAGATCCGCAAACAAACACTTGACAGTGATTTGCCTTAAACATCTGCATGGCAGAAAGCAGACGGCCTGCAACAGCCAGGGTTGTGCAGAAGAAATTTTGGAAGTTTCCTAATTATAAACTCTGTGCGTATAATAAGTGACAAACCTAAGTGTTGATAATTAGTATAACATCCTGCAAATTTAAATTGTGAACTGGTAAGAATTGGCTTTTGTATAAGAATACATTCCTCTGGAGCTGTTGGAACCCCGGAAAAAAACACAAATTAATCATAAAAATTATATTTGTGACACTCAACTAAATCTTGAATAAAGAATAAAAAGTCTCCTTTGTGCTCTTGGATAAATGGGGAACTCTTGTTTGCTTGTTCTGCATTAGAAGTCTGCTCATCGCTGCTATTTTAGTTTAACTTCAGGGTGAAAGCAGCATGCCTTAGGGATATGTGCTGTTGTTTAAATAGGGTTGCGTCACTACAGTTTCAATTTATATGTGCTCCTTTTATGGTGCCTTGCAGGAGCATTAATACCCCTTGGAGTTTTAAACATTTTGTGAAGTTCCAACACACACACACTCAAGTTTTTATTTCTATCCAAATTAAGACTTTGCATTTACTTTCATTCATTTTAGTTACTGTAGCTATGCTTAACCTGACATTTACCCAAACCCTATCCAATATCAGTATATCCCTAAGCTAAACCTGCACCTAACCTACTGTAGTTAATTCACACCTCACATGTAAACTGACTCTCTAAGGTTAAAAATGGGGGTCCCCCGCATTAGGACCAGCCTTTGGTCCCCATAAAGCCTGTTGGTCCTCAGAAGGTTAGTAAATATACCAGACATGGTCCTCAATTGGTAACATAAACAACCATACACACACACACACAAATGTGTCTCTCTATCTTTGCAGGGCCTTTCCATAGACCTCCATTAATTTCTCTAACCTTACCGAGACCCATAACATTTTATTATCCAAAAAACACACACACACATGTCTTGTCACAAATCTAACTTAGGCTGGGAACTTACAACTTGATTAACTCAATTAAAATATTTATATACAATTGTTATACAAAGTTTTACATGTACAAATTTTCAGTCATCCGGACAACCTCAAAAGAGGCGTATCAATACGGTGGCAATCAGCAGTGTTGGGCAAGCTACTTGTCCAGTGTAGTGAGCTAAGCTATCACTTTCTCAACAATAAATTAAGCTTCACTACACAAAAGCTACCACCTAAAGAATTATAGCAAGCTAAGTTACACTAATGTGTTAACAGTAGCTTAACTACATCAGAAGTTACTTAACGTTGTACCAACCTAATATCAATTCAAAATGAGTCTGATACACTGGTTAAAATATTTATTAAAGATCAGCCAATGACATAACACAGTGTAAAAATTGCTTTATGATCAGCATAATAAAAAAAACTAAAGTAATTACTAGTAGACAAAAAAAATAAACAATCTGCTGTTTTTAGAACCAAATTAAAGTACAGTGTAGTGTACTACACTCATAGCCACATCGAGACATGGCTATGAGTTTGCATTCAATGGACATCTCTAGGGAAAACAAAACCCTACAAAAGGCATCTCATTTCTTTAGGGTCTCCCTTAGAGAAAACGTCTTCAGACCTCAATTAAACAGTTGATTCAAGTAACAAATTAAACTGTTTATAAAAAAGGTGAAAAAATAAAGAAACTAATTAAAATATATATATACATTTATGTCTCACCGTATAATTTAATTTCTACCTACATATTTATTCATTGTATTTTGGGGGCTAATTAATTGAATGCTTATTTATTTATTGAGCATGTATTTATTTATGTATTTATTTTTATACATGGGAGAGCTGTTCCTCCATACCTAAAAAATCTTATCTGTGCAAATAAGCCTTAAAACATCTGAACACGTACTTTTTATCACAGGATTCAACAAGTTTCAAAATTCAAAAGATAAGGCCATGGTGTAGTAGCGACAATTGGCTGCTCTTCTCGCTCTGCTCCTGTCTCCTCCTCCATCCTGTGTGTGTGGTTCTGTGTGTCTGCCTGTGTCTGTGTGTGTTATTCTTTGAGTTCCACTGCAGTACGCATGCGCATGTTTCACAGACAGGAGAGGCAGAATAGAGGCTCATGCATGAATATCCAACGAATAACTCAGATTGTTGTTTCAAAAATAAAAAAACCTGGTTTCATTACTTAGTTTTGCCCTGGATTTTGTAGCGTTTGTGGATGCTACGTCGCTACTTGATAAAAACAATAACGTCACTACAGGAAAGTTACTTGATAAATAAAGCAGCGATGCTACGGTCGCTACTGCCCATCACTGGCAATCAGACATTAACTCTCTTGTCCCCCTAGTTTGGCTCATCTTCCAAGCTAAACTGATTATACACCACAATGTCTGCTTTAAAACCCCTATCTTCTGCTCCAAAGAAAGGTACCTAAAAACTTGGGCAAAATGCTAGACAAAGATCATGTTGCCTCCCTTAGTTAATTTTAAATTATT